GACAATGTGTCCAGGAAGGCAGTTTCCATATATTCGTACAGCGGAGTGAAGGGAGCTTACGTCCAGGCAGCAATGTTCCTGGGAACTGGGGGGGGGGGGGGGGGGGGTGTCAAGGGCCTGGCTTGGCAGGTTTGCGCGCAATCGAGAGGAATCGAAGATGCGGAATTCCTTCATGCCCATGAGCAACTCGCGCTAAATGCACTACATCTGTGAGATCTCGAGAGCTATAGCGGGGGTTGAGCCGGGTTAGCAACTTGGCTGGGTAACCACCAGCGCCGTGAAAATGGCCAGGAGGTGGCAGTGATGTGCGTTACCCTCCTGCATGTGTGGTGGGGTTTCTCTGCTGCGTCCCGACATATGCAAAAACACTCAGTTTGGCCAAAAACAACCAAAATGTAGCGGGACTCGGTGACATTTTCCCGAGGTAAATAATAGGATTTTATTAATTATTTCAGGAAATAATAAAGTGACGTGATCTAACACCCAAAAAGTGTATTATGAATGATATTGGTGGCGAAAGCCGACGTGTTAAACTGAAGATTGTATTAGTATTACGACTTCGAACGTCAGCTACGACATCGGCCACATCCATGGAAATGCCCCATCGAAAACAACGAAAACCCTATCTGTGCGCGCTGTACTGGTGTTTAAAAATAAAAATAAATAAATGCACACTTATGATTTGGGTTTAAAGCCTAGAAGAGCGCCGTGATTGAACGACCCCCTTCACTTGCCTGATTTCTAGGACCAACACTGAACAGCCTAAGCCCATCACACTGTGGATTTCCACAATTTGAAACCCCATTGCTGCGACAGTGGCTTAATGTAAAGAAGAAATGCATTTTTTTTTTACATTTGTTGATATTAATCCAGTGATACATTCATTCACGGTGCACGATGACGACACTACCCATGTATTATCTGCAAAGTATTGTATCAGTCGAAAGCTTGCGTAATAATATCGATGCAATAATGTACAGCGCTTTTGTCATGTTGCTGCCGCATTGGAGAGCTCCTCACGCTGATCAATGCCGGTTGGCGGTATTGAGGACCGGTTCGGATATCGCTCACCACCGATGTTATCATGGCCAGGGATCGAACTCAGGTCACTGGATTCACAGCTCAGTGTCCGCAACTTTGGCTTCCTGAGCCCGAGGGTCGCCACTCAAATCCTGGTCACTGCTTTCCAAACAACGACAGCTGAACTTTTAGCGAGGACACTTAAATTGTTTTATTTCTTTCTCACAAAATGGAATTGGAATGTTAATTTGAATATTCAGATATTCTACTAAAACTGCAGTCGGTGGGTGGCTCACAGATAACAGCTTCGTTTTTTTTTCTCTTAAACTACATCTGATAATTTTAAATAATCGACCGGCACACACCATTTACATATCCTGGTCCATCAATGTACCTCCCTTGACAGAGGCTTCTCCTTTTTAAATGCAATATCTCATTTCAATCCATCCCATGCCACAGGGCTAACCACCAAATATGAGCCTTCAAAGACAGCTTTGTGGAGCATTTACAATTTCCTAAACGTTTTAATTGCTATGGTTACATCTTAGCACGAACTAACGTGCCAAGGTTCTATTTCTACTATAAAAAAATTTGTATTTAACAGTTAGCCATCGTTTTAATTCTGATAAATAACACCAAAGCAAATAGGGGCTTAAGTCAAATCATCACTGCAATAAATTACACATAATTTATCATTACCAGTATATTGTAAAAATTCATATTATTTCACCTACTAAAGCGTGTCCATTTATAAGAATGAAACATCACACAGATTGCTCCACTAAATAATAATTTTACAGCTGTCACATGGGATAAATTCAGAAATCGTGCATCCTTGGCTTGCCGGCACTTTCTTCTTCTGTGCGTGCACGTCACAGTCGCGTGAGCACTGCAGCACGGGCACCGGGGATAGATACACAGCTCCGTAGTAATCCCTCTGGCAGTCTCTCGCTTCGTTGGGAAATTAAAACATTTGGTGGAAGGTCGTGGTGGATGCAGAGAAGCCACCGTCGTCTTTAATTCACCGAACCGAATGTTTGGTGGTAAAGATAAAACAAAAAGATTTATATTCGTCGCTGTTCGCGTTTTAAATGCCTACGTTTGTCGATCTTTTCTGAGAGGTGGTGCCCACCGTCCAGACGTCTTGATGAATGTTAGTTTAACACGTGGCAGGCTTTCGCAGACCAATATTATTCATAATCAACGTTTTTGGGTTTATATCGCGTTATTTATAAATGTGTCGTAACCCTCCACCACCCGACACGGCCAATCAGTAAAAAAGTGTCACGTTGACAAAAGAGAAATAGTTCACTGCTTTAGCCCACCGGTGTGTTGAAGCGTGAAACCACAACATTTACAATGTTTGAGTACGACGTTTCGCTGGTAATTGCATCCAGCATCATCGGGCAATTCGCCAGAATGGTGAGGCTCTGCTGTGTCTCCCGTTCTTATATAAAGCAGCAGCAGGGTGACGTCATCATGAACTCATTAACTCATCAGGTGAATGTTGACGTCTTGAGTTAAAGGGTATTCGGCACATTGAGCAGTTGTGAGCTCAAAAAAAAGTGTAACTGCTGAGAACGCACGGTCAAGCAGAGAGCAGCATTTGTTTGGACTTTTTCAAACTCTCTGCTCGATTATGCAGTGGAACAGAGAGCGCTTCGGGCCCTGATATGTGCCAGAGCAGTGGGCTATTGCTTCGTTTTAAATTTTACCCAGGACGCCCATTCCGAACGAATTTATATCTGTGTCATGTGAACAGCAGTCGTGAATTTTATGACTGTCGTTGTGGAGGAAATGAAAGCTGTTCGCAGGGCCGAAGTCGCCCTGCTTTGTAAAACCTAAGCACTGGCATTTGCTTGAATGTCCAGTAAAAAAAAGAAAAGTCCAACTGACAAATGAGACTTTTGAATAATAATCCTACGAAATAAATCCAACCGCTGGATTTTCCCACCGCACAAGCTTGACTCGAAATGAATAGAGCTGCCAAAAAAACTAGCCCCCGCTTCCATCTGACCAACAAACATTAGCACCCATTCTCTTTTGTTGTTACAGCACAATGGGTGATCAATTCCCACCTACAGCATCAAAGTAAATGTATTTCCATGGTAAATGACAGCCAGAATTGCCCAATACCATGAAACGAGATTGGTTCCTGTATAGTTTTAACACTAACTTCCAAAGGATTTAACAACCTATACAAAAAGTATCCTGAATTGTGTTTCACTATATATCTATGCACTGTGCATATCTATGGAACGCTGCCATGCTGTAATGGTTAACACACTGAACTTTCAATGCAAAAGGCACACGTTCAACTCCATGTGGTAGGGCAGTAGTTGGGAAAGTTTCCCCAATCCACCACTGCCTCTGCCCACCCAGCACTATGAAAGGTTTCACACCACGGTTACTCGATCGGCTTCGTCACGTGTGATGGGGTCACGTGTGGGTAATCCTAGCATGGAAGTGGAGGCCAAATACCCATCGAGGTCCGTCCAGTGGAGGCCCTTGCACCAGCAGTCGCGTGAGCAAGCAATTGCAGGGATGCACCTTCACCTTATATACGTAATAATTGTGAACAAGCTTGGCTCCTCATTTTTGCAAGCTCAAACATTGTAAATGTGAAACTTTAGGTTAGGCACAGCGGTTAAGAGACTGTGTATCTATGAACTCTATGGTATGAGCTTGATTCCCGGTCACAAATAACATATGGACCTCTCCCCCCCCCCCCCCACCAACTTCACCAACTTTCATTGACCAGCGTGGTGAAGTATGGCCAAACAACCCCCATGACTGACATGGCCCCTGGGTGAGGGGAGGGTGAGGGGCTTCATCCAGCAGTGGATTAACCATGGGTTGTAAAGTATTCGTATTATAAAAAAAAAAAATCGATTTAAATATGCTAAATTCCTCTTGATATGCAAATTCCTTTGTCAAGGCGCTCTTCCCCCTACAACCCAGCTTAAATATACGCTGCCAAGCCTGGTGGTGGTCATTCAGACGCTGTCTTTCTGACAGACCTGTTCTTCACCTGAGGACAGCTGCTTGCGTTGTGGCCGAAACGTCGTGAGAATTATTATATTATGTTTTATTTTTATTATTGTATTATTTCCATTCTACGTGACTTTACCGAAAGAACCAAGAAGATATAATTTTTTTAATGCGAAACGCTGAGTCGTAAAGAGAATTACATTTAGACAAAGACATGTTAACAAGTTGGTAGTCATCGAGGAAGCACAGAAACATATTGTTAACAATGACGAGAAGACATTGTGTGACTTGTCTTCCTGAACGGGAGTTGTGCTCTTTGTGTCTTTATAAATCTATCCTTGAAAGTGATTAATACATTAATTCTAAGTTCTTAATAAGGCACACTCCCTCCCGCTGTCGGTAGCCTATTTATTTATTTAATTGCAACCCGCCTTCAACATCTGTTCACGTATTCCGTTGTGTTTTTTTTGTTTCCATTTGTATCCTTCTAATGAATATCTCTAATTGCTTAGCAAGCTTATCGCACATAACGTTTTCTTCCGTCGCATTTATCCTGAGCCCAACGTTGCAAGTCTCCTTAATTACATTTCCCCTAATTCGAGTCGTTATATTTATTGATGGTGTCATCAGGAGACCCGAGATGGTTAATATTTTTACCCATTTTTATTTGTATGCTCTTGTCTCCCCATTGCAAATCTCAGAAAACATCTTCTCTCGTCGCTGCGAATAACTTTGATGACATTGACACTCGCGCGAGTACCAACGCTGGCGTGAGCGAAGCAACGGGGTGAATATTCCATGCTGCCGAAATAATTTCGAATCTACGACAAAAGGAATGCAGAGGGCAGCAAAAACGAGGATATCCAAAAAGGACTTCAAACGCCAATGAGATATCTTTGTGCGTGGCAGTGCGACATTGCCTCCACGTGGCGGATCAGTTGAATTTCACACAAATTGAGAAGTTTTTAACCCCCGTGGCTTCCCAGAGCACCCCTTTTGCCGCAGCTATGAGCGTTATGGGCAACGCGCTGCCGAGTGTTGCTCTCCATAGCCTTTGGCACACTTAAAACAAGTGGCCCTTTGTACGACGCAAAGCCCTTCTTAGGTACTCGCCACTCGCCACAGCGATCGGGTGGCACGAGTTCATTTTAAACTCGCCGCGCGGAGCAGAATGGCATGTTTCAAGGAACAAACACAAAGTACACAACGATTATGTTCGTGAAATTCTCGGCTGAAACTGAAACACGGCGTCACGTTTCCAATCGAGTTCATCGCGTCGCTATTTCCAGCCAACGCCAAAGCGCTGTCAGTATCTTGGAGCGGTCCGGCATATTTTTTTGTGTTTAAGTTTGGAAGCGAGGTCCGGTGCCAGAATGGGGCACGTACGCTGCGTTGCGCAAGACGCGACGGCAGATGTCTGCATCCGCTTGTGCGTGCCGGCTTAAGTTTCCGAAACAAAAAAAACAACATCACCGGCGGATGGAGGGGACGTGCGTGGCAGTTTGACACTCGCTGCCGGAGAGAAGAGTTACAACAACGACGAGGACACAAGGTCCGCCACTTGGGACGTGCCGTCGGACACGGCTCCAAACTGTTTCTCGTTCTCCTTCATGGTGGAACGACTCGCAGAGCCCAATCGCGTTCTCCTCCTGCTCGTCGACGGACTTGTGGAACACGTTCCTCGCAGCGGCGGACGACGCAGGGACATGCGCATTGCCCCGGCGGTTGGAGCCCGAGCAGAAACCCAGCGCCTGGTTGTAATTAGGATAACGAGCAGTTAAGTGGGGGGGGGGGGGGGTGTTCGTCATGTCAAGGAAGAGCAGAGCACCGAAGCTCAGGTGTTACGTCGACGCGCCAGACGGAGGGTGGGGATGGATCATCGTGCTCCACTTCTTCATGGTAAACGATGCCCCCCTCCTCCCCACTCCCCCCACCCCCAAGTTGTTTCCTTGCAGCTGCCGCTTTCTAATTGATTTTGTGTGTGTGTGTATTACCCTGCACGGGTTCAGAGAAATTAATACTAATAAACAAAATTATCTATTTCGATTTAAAGCTTTCGTGAATGCAGGGATTCAACTTCTTGGTTCTTTCGGTAAAGTCACGCTGTCGCCTCGACAGACCTGGTTTTCATCTGAGGACGGCTGCTTGCGTTGTGGCCGAAACGTCGTGAGAATTAATTTATTATGTTTTATTTTTATTATTTTATTACTTCCCTTCTACGTGACTTTACCGAAAGAACCAAGAAGAAAATTATCTATAATGGCGTTTTTTTTTTTCTCGCGCCCTGACCCCCCCAAAAAAACATATTTTGCGGGGCTGTTTGTTTAAAGTGCGCGGCGAGCACAAGAAAAATTCGCGTCGGTGAATTTCGCCGGACTTTGACGACAACCGCTCCCTTGGCGGCGGCTGCTGTTGCTGCTGCTTCGGCTGCTGTTGCTGCTGTTGCTGCTGCTGCTGTTGCTGCTGTTGCTGCCGATGGCTGGTTACATGAAATCCTCCCGTTATAATGAGCCAGAAGACTTTCGCCTCCACGCTCGCACCGCGGCGGCGTAGTTGTTATTGTTGTTACTTGAGGCTGCTGCAAGGTGTTGGTGAACGGATTCGTCGTCAAACGCGTCTTAGATGAGAGAGGGGGGTAGCACCGCGTGAGAGCCGGCGATGGTGTTCATTAACCGTTTTACAATAAAGAAAAAAAAATCGGCTATCTTTAATTATGCAGGAGCAGTTATTATACGTGTGTATTTTAATTTATTTATATTACTTGTAAGTAATTTGTTTTAACAAAAATGTGAAATTTGGGTTGCACACTGGCTTTTAACAATTATTTAGGATCCCATTCATTTCACAGGCATAAAATGCCCTATTAGTTTTTTTTACACAGTGGTGTACAATATATTAAGATGCGATCAACAACAAGGGTTGGGTGCAGCGGTGCAACGGCCAGGTTCGCTGCACTATGAATCGGGCAACTTGAGTTGGATTTCAGGCCACAGCGAACATCATCGGTGACCGATATTTGACCCCGCCTTGGGCACCCGACCTTCACCAATCCGCACTGGGCCGTGTGGTGAACTATTGCCCGAACAACGCCCAATTCTGACGTGGCATGTGCAGAGGCGTAGCTAGGGGGGGGGGTCAGGGGGGTACATATGTCCCCGGGCGCCAAGGTAAAGGGGCGCCAAAATGAGGCTTACAACTTTACATTATAACTTATTGCGGCGAGCGCGGCAGCCTGAAACTACTGCACAAATCTACACCTCAACCTAAAAGTGTATATATCCCGCCACACACAGCCTACATGTCATGTAATTACATGTTGGTATGTAATTAAACGGGGGGGGGGGGTGCGCCAATTTTTAGTTCGTCCCCGGGCGCAAAATATCCTAGCTACGCCACTGGGCATGTGCAGGAGGCCTTCATCCAGCAGTGAGTTGACAATGGGCCGTAAATTATTATCATCATCAGGATAAGTATTATAATCTCAGTATTCCATAACGGGCTGACGTTTCTGGAAATGGATCTTCTTCAGGGCCGACATGTTGAATGACTTACAGCTAAAAGATTTAACAACAGCAGGGCACATTGGTGGCATTACCGCTCACGTGGTTTGGTGGGGCCACTTCTGGGTAAAACCCACAGAACTCTGGAAGCCGTGACTGACAAAGTTTGAGGGAGGCTGGATAGACGGCGAAATAATGTCGAAATGCCTCCGTCAATGAGAGCAATATCTGCCCATGACAGGTGAACGTCTTGGTGATGGGGATGCTGAAATCCTTCGGCTTCTTCTTCGTGGCATTTCAAGAGGAGTTTTCGGAGAACGCCGAGCGAATCAGTTGGATTGGATCCATCATGTCCAGCCTACGCCTCATGGCCGGTGAGCGCGGCTGAGCGACGCACAAAAGAGGGCCTCTTAGCCGGGCGCCTTCACAGACGCCACTCATCACAGTCTCTCGCTCCGTCAAGACTCGCGCTTGCACCGCGGAGTTGAAGGTTCGCTGCTTCTTCTTTGGAGTCGCTGCTCAATCAAGGAGGCTCATCCAGCCAGGAGCGAAGCTGTAAAATTCACTTTCATTGCACTATAGCTACGCGAAAATGTGGCTCGGTTGCAGTTTTTTTTTGTTCACTCCCTCCACATTTAAATGTAAAAAAAAGCCCTTTAATGCGTAAATCGTTAACTTTGAATGGTAATATAATAATGCCGTTTGATATTGAAAATCGTATTTTACAGTAAATTTAAAGACGCAATTTTTGTTGTACAGCAGCTCGCACTGATTTGCATCGTTAATATATTTATGCACGGGGGCTTTTGTGGCTTGCCACGACGATCGAGGCAATTCGCCACGCCGAGGCGAATTGCCGGGCCCGTGACAGACGGCGTTTTAATCGCTCACGTTCCGCTACCTGACGGGCGTAAATCACACGCGGCTCCTCACGATTGCTTACAAATGATTCCACTTACCGGGCAACTCAGCAAAAAGTTTAAAAAAGGAAATTTGTGCATTTCGACGTAATTTAAATCGATTCATTTTCTTGGTTCTTTTGGTAAAGTGACGTAAAATGGACAGAGTCTGTCTACTCGACAGACCTACTCTCCACCTCAGGACGGCTGCTTGCGTTGTGGCCGAAACGTCGTGAGAATTATTTTATTATGTTTTATTTGTATTATTTTATTATTTCCATTCTACGTGACTTTACCGAAAGAACCAAGAATATGAATCCCTGCAGTCACGAAAGCTTTAAATCGAAAATTAAATCGACTCATTAACTGTTACTTTCTACGGATGAGAGGAGCGATCCCAAAAGTGGTCGCGAAACTGCCCCAGTGGCAAGCGGCAGATAACATTGGTATTTTTTTAGGGGTTAATGGGGTCCACCAATCACGTGCTCTTCATCACCCCGGGGAAGATACATTTCACTGAACACCACAAGAGAACATTTTTTTCCGGAATAAATCTTGCTTCAAACGTGCATGCCCTCGGACAGAGCAACAAAAACGAGGACAAAGACCCCCCGCGTAGCCTCTAATAGACTGCTGGGTCAAGTGCTGTTAGCGAGCAGCACCTGTGAATGCCGGCACGGTGCACGAGGAGGTGGATGGCCAGCAATCACGTCCGGCCGCCGGTGTCTCCCCAGTGCCAATTTCTATACACTACACGAGGTGCAGTACTCATTTAAGGCAGAGTCGACCTAGGGGAGGCCCAGCACCGGTTCATTTATTCGTCGCTAAATATAGAACCAGGGTTGCAGGGTCTGTCGGGTCCATCGCGCCGGCAACTGCACTATCGCTCGCACACACAAACATTTTTACTTTAAAGCCACGTGCCAAGTAACAAAGACAAAGATCTCCCGTACAGCCTTGGCAGACTGTTGGGGCAAGTGCTGTTATCGTGTGCCGTGCCGGCCTTCATAGCGAGCACCTATGAAGGCCGGCACGGCACACGAGGGGGTGGGTGGCCAACACCACGCCCGGCCGCCTTTGTCTCCCCAGTGGCGATGTTTAAACATCGCACCGGGTACTCATTTGAGGCTGAGTCGACCTAAGGGGAGGCCCACGACCGGTTCAGATAATGGTCAGTGGGTGTTTGCAGTGAACGGAAATCGAACCCGACGCTGGGTTCGTAGCGCAGCGCGCTAACCGCGACACCACCGCTCCCCACGTAACAAGTAACAACACACACGCACGCGCGCACGCGATAACCATGATCCCTTCTGCCTTCCTTCGACTGGCTGCCCTTCCAGGACCCCTGGCGTCCGTGTCATGTGGGCGACTGGGAGAGAGGGGCACGGCCGTGCTCGGGGGGCTCATCGTGGCCGCGGGCTTCTTCGTGTCTGTGCTCGCGCAGAGTGTGCCCTTCCTGTACATTACCCTGGGCGTGCTGGTAGGTAAGTGACCGTAGCCAATGCCCTGGGAACCCTTTCGCCCCTGCCGGCAGCGGTTTGCCAAAAAAACGAGCGCGGAGTGGGATGGCTTGGAGGTCGGTCTCTGGCGGTGCGGCGGCATCTGTTGTCAGACAGGAAGAAGGTACCGAGCGGTCGAAGGCAGCGGTTCATAACCTGGAGTGCACGCACCCCCTGGGGGTGCGAGATGCCCCTTTTGGGGGTAGCGAGACACGTCCATATTGTTTTATAAAGGGAAATAATCGACGACACAAATTAAGCACGTGCACTTAAATATAACTACTTTGTTTCATCAAATCTTTGTATTTATTTAAAAAAATATTTACGTATCGATTGAGGCTGCAGTGAAAGTTAAGAACCACTGCTCTAGAGTAACCGCAGTCGCATATGATCATGTCGTGGTCAATAGGCCATTGTGGCCAATGCCGTTGATGCCACGACACCTTGACATCGTTCCCTTCCATCTGCCGGAGAGGCGTAATCGTTGCAAAGTTGACCACGTCCTTCGATGCCTGTTCCCACGGTCTCACCGTCACCACAATGTGGCTTTGGGTCTTCCCATTGGCCGCACACCTCTTGGTTGCCATTCCAATGCCTGTCTCGGTAACCTTGCCACCACCACCTCAGCCCACGTGTCCCACCGATTGTATCCACCATCGGTCTCGATCACAACCACACCACTTAGTTGCGATGTTTTGCTCCGAACCTCCACGTTACCTAAACCTGTCCTTCCATGAAAGTTCCCGAACATTCTCTGCACGCACCTGCACTCAAAAGGCCACGAGCTTCTGGATCAGTTGCTTTGTACTAAGAAAATGTATTATTAGCACACGCATATCCATAGGGAGGAGTGGCAAGGGTTATGTGTCCTTAAAAATAGCAATGCAGTTGAATGTGCAACCGCTGAAATTAAGATACAGCGTACACTACAAGTTGGCAGCCAGTTCAATACAGTACGCCGAAGCCAAATTGACGGCAAGAGCGACGGCATGGGGTAGGAACGTGGGCAGTTGATAATCAATAATTAGGGAACACAAAAAGAGATGGGGGCAGCAGTGACTCCAGCCAGCCTGTAATTTAATAAAAACGCTCCCAGGATAAAGACCCCCGGTTGGTCTTCTGCCATCGTCCGCTTTCAATTTCAGACAAAAATAACTGGAACATTTTTTTTTTACGGGGAATCGCGTGTCTCCCACGCCACACAATGTTCCTTCGAAATAGTTCCTGGGAAGCCACGGAGGGAGGGTATAGCCGCCCTCATGCATGCCCCCTCCGCTCCGCGCACGACCCAGCGTTCTAATGTCAAACAGCCACCGCTGTCTTGGACATCCTGGGGCAGTTTAACACGCGGTAGGCTTTCGCGACCGATATTATTTATAATAAAAGTTTTTGGGTGACACCACCTAAGTATAAATGTGTCGTAACCCTCCACCACCCGACACAGCCAAGTAGTAAGGGATTTGTCACGTAAACAAAACTCAGATTAGTGTCTACTTCTGCCCACGGGTGTGTTGAGTTCGACGTTTCGCTGGTAATTACATCCGGCATCATCGGGAAAAATACTAGTCCATGAGCTCTCTGACAGTGATGATAGTAATCGCTTTGAACGTGATATGTTTAAAGAGATGAAAGTGGGACTGTTCTGACACCCCCCAAATAACTTACGAGTTGCAAAAAAAGCGTGCGTATTCCAACGCTAGCTCCGGGTCTACTTAAACTCATCATCTCGCGAGGTTGCTAAAATAAAATAAAAACACTCTGTGAGAAGTCAACAGTGATTATCCAATGGGTTGGTTGACCGCAGTGGCGTCCAGCAAGTGTTGCATATCGGTGGATGCACAGAAACCCGTGGGCGAAGTGACTCGCCGCCCCCCCCCCTCCCAGGCTCCCAGGCCCCCGCCATGGTCACGTGGAATTTCCCCCAAACGGGGCTCCTGTCGCCACCCAGGTCTGGGCTTTGCCCTCATCTACCAGTCGGCGAGCATCATGACCGCACGCTACTTCAAGACGCGCCTCTCCACAGCCTACGCCATCTCGCGTTCCGGCATGGGCCTTACCTTCGCTCTTGCGCCCTTCACGCAGATGTTGCTGGACGAGTACGGCTGGCGAGGTGGGGATTTTATTATTTTCGAAACAAACCCCCGTCCGTACACCTCCCCCCCCCCCCCGATTCTGTCAATGTTGTGATTATACCGCGACTGAGTGGCCCCGCAATGTTCTTCGCAAACGTCTCGGTGGTTTTTCGGTAAACCGCTGTGCCCCGGTCTCACGAAGCCTTTCGGAATTGTAATCATCAATATTTATGCCGGAGGAATCCGATGAGCTATGAAGCTCTTTTTCACTGATGTCCCAGTGGCGGCGGGTAAGAACGTTACAACAACAAACAGTACAAACACGTGATGTTAGTGCAAAGTACACGAAAGGTAAACAAATCACCCAAAAACATGCAAATACAACTAAACCATCCACATCCTACCAGGCAAAGCCCACTGAGGTATTAACTTATTATTCAGAAGCAACCTGACCACAAATGATAGCTCAACAAAGTGGCCCATCATTTGGACATGTATAGCAGCAAAACAATCTAAATAATCTCAATGCGCGTTTCTAAATGTGGAGGGAAAAAACGAAGGACCCGGAGAAAAATCCACACGACCACGGGGAGAATATGCAAACTCCAAACGTACAGGCGTCAGGGTCGGAATAGAACACCCTGACCTCCTGGATAACAGGCGAGGAAGATGACATCTCTTAGCCACTGTGGGTGAACTCAGCCCTGCCATAGGAAGGGGTAATTTGAACCAGTCGCTCAGGGCTGTAAACACGAGATGAGCACTGTCCCAGTGAATCTAACCTAGCCATTAACTGCTTCAATAAAAACAGAATGTCGTTCATTATTAATTCGAGTGTACTATTGATGTTACCTTGTTTCAAGGTTGCGGAGGGATTTTTTTTTTATAACTCAGGGTTTAAATTGCAAGACTGCAACCGATGCAATTACGACCACAGTGCCAGCATCACCATAACGGAGATGTTTACATTTTGTGTAGATGATATATCACAGTCATGAGTAGGAGTAGTTTTAATTCATCATGCAGATTTACATTCCACAGAGTGAATGGACAGAATTGTTTACTAATCTCCGATTGATTTTCCCAAATGCCGGCAACTGCAGGCAAAACACGAATGGCATTTGTATAAATGTCATTCGTGTTTCATAAATGTCATTAGGACATTGCCCGAGATAGATGATGGCAGATTTTACAAACCCAATACTTTCAGAGAAGATATCCTTTTATATACCATAATTTATTAATTACACAATTTCTTCAGCCTAAATTGAAATGGACATTTATTGGAAAACGCACTTCCCTAAAATGACACTGTGTTTAAAAATACACTCGATGAATCAGAGAATATTAAGATCTACTTTCTCAACCTTGACAATGAGCGACATTAAATGAACGCGTCTGGGAGCAATTATATTCCGCGTGAAAACAATGCAGCATGTTGCACAAGTTACACACGTGTGCGCGCACATGCCTGTCCAGCCCATTTCTCAACCAGCTGCTGGACGAGGGCCTCCCTTTCGCTGCGTGGGTCGTGGGGGCTGTTTGAACATCTTTCACCCTGCTGGTCAGTGCGGGGTTGATGAAGTCAGCATAGAAATGCGTGGCAGCAATGTGTTTTTTTGCTACACTGCCTCTGTTGATGTGCTGCTCTCTTCTCCACGCCACGTGCGCACGCGTCCTCTGCCACCGCCAGGAGCCCTGCTAATCCTCGGCGCCCTCATGCTGAACTTGATTCCGTCTGGAATGTTGCTCCGACCGATCCACCTGCTGGACGACCTCGGTTCGGCACAAGTCGAAAAGTCGGCCCACGGACCGGGGAACGAAGACCAAGCGGGCGACATCGCCATTGTGTGCCCGGCGCCGGGGGAACGACGCGGAGCGGCAGAGCAGGAGCAGAATAGGTGGGATGCTGCCTCCGCGCTCAACGCCGCACACATTTACGAAGAAGGCGGCGATGCCAGCAGTGAGAGGAGGACAAGCGTCGACACGGCCGCGATTGCGGGCGGACCTCTGGGGAACGGAGAGAACACGGATCTTCCGAACGGAGGCGGAAAAGGCCACGCGGCTTCCCGGGCGGGGTCGCCGTGCAGCGACGGTGGCTCCCGTGGAGCAGAAGTGGGAAGCGAAAGGCGCCGCACGGCAAACTCCAACAACGACCCACAGCACGTGAGTGCGAGGCGCAAGTGCCAGCGCGTGCACGTGGAGGTTGTTGACGGGAGGGGGGCGACCTCCTGCCCGCCTTGCGGTGGGCAAGAGCCGAAGTCGGAGGAAAAACTCCTGGACATCTCGCTGCTCAGGGAGCCGCTGTTCCACGTGTACACGTGGTCTGTGGTGTTCAGCCAGCTGGCATACTTCATTCCATACTTCCACTTGGCAGCGCGGGCACAGACGCTGGGCATCGATCCAATGAAGGCATCACTTATCATCTCCATGGCAGGTGAGCCGAGAACGGGTAACTCTGCCGAGAGCCTCAGATTAGGCTGTAGGCAAAATGTATTGTCTGCCTCATGTATCTGAGCAAACAACAACAATGATAGGGATTTGAAGCAAAGCGGCATTGAAACGCTAGATGCATTTTTTTTGTAAATATAATGTCCACCCTTAAATAATTTTATGGGAACATGCCGGTTATCTCAATTTTTGGAACTCAGCATCTGCATTTAGGGGCAGTAATCAATTTTGTGTGGGGCAGGAGTCTCTGATGTAATTTTTGGGACATCGGATTTGTTTATCCAATTTAGGATTTTATTTCATTTTTTATTCATTTTGAAGTACATCTTTTACAACTTTTATTCTTTGTCCACTGAATAAAAAATGTCAAACATTTCATTTTTTTTTACGTAAAGTTTCAACGTAAAACAACACATTTTATGTACAAAAATATAAATTTGAATAATTTTAGCAAAATTTACGTCACGTGATGGTACTTTTGGTGAGGATACCACGACAGTTGCGTTGTGGAAGTGACGGAACTCCCCTTCGTCATTATATTTTTGGATACATCTGAAGCAAACTTTTTTTTCCGATCTATTTGAAATTACATATCCAAGCCCAATTTTGGGATTTTCAGGTGAATCCCAAAAACTTGGAACACATCCCTATTTTGTTTTTGTTAACACAAATCAATTTTAGCAGCCTGGCTTGCCCAGCTCATGAGAACCCGTTATAGAACATAGGAGTCTTGTTGAACCCCACTATGAAATTCACCGACAGTTACGGACACGTTTGCAGTTCAGGATGTTGGCAGGGCATCAATTAGGCAACAAGCCCTGGCCACTGAGTAGACGGGATACTGCAGGTTGCAATCACTCGTCCAGTCGTGCCAGATGGTGCGAAAGATTGACAAAAGATGTGCACTATTTAATTCCCGTCACGATGAGTTTACGCCGTCTGCGCCAAAACCGGCTGCAGTGCTGAACGAGAGTGTACACACTGCAACCACACGCGGCACCACGCTATACTCCAAAAATAAAAGCGTGCACTTTAAATATAATTTGGCACTCTGTCCAACTGTGTTTTTTAATACGAGACATAGCGACCCTTTCAGAATACATTACAACTGCCGGTACTTTTCCCATCGCGTATTTAGCCGTCGCGTGGTATTGAAACCCAATGTGGACAGATGTTATTTGGCCAATTTTAGAACACCCTCTAGGACTAAAATCAAGTGTGCTTACAGAATGAATTGAGTTGTACATGACGTGCTCCCCTGTGGCGTTCCGCATCGATATCTATTGCGTACTGTATCTCTCTCCAAGAGTGAAAGATATCAAGAATGCGAGTGCCTGCCAACTGAGGGAATGCACTTTTGACATCCACCAAGATTTGTGAAAATGAATTATAATCGTAATGGTTGACAGCCCTTTGTCGATCCAGTGCTGGATTGAAGGCCTCCCCAAGCCATTGTCAACAAAGGGCAATTGTTTGACTTTAGTTTACTTTTTGGTTCTTTCGGTAAAGTCACGTATGAAGATAAAATAATTAATTAAATACTAGCATACGACGTTTCGATTGCAACACAAGCAATCGTCATCAAGTATAAATTAATACTAGATTTGTGTTTCTATTTAATTTATACCTGATGATAATTGCTTGTGTTGCAATCGAAACGTCGTATGCTAGTATTTAATTTATTATTTTATCTTTATACGTGACTTTACCGAAAGAACCAAAGAGTAATTCCTGCAGTCACGAAAGCTCCAAATTAAGTTTGACTTTAGTTTATCACGTGCATCAGCGCAGGCTGTTGCATTATGGCGGACTGGTTCGGAAATGTTTTCACCACCGATGTTAGCCGTGACTGGGAATTCAACTAAATAAAACGTTTAAATGCATTGCAAAAGTGCTGTTTGTACTGTAGTTTACTACAGACTTGGCCATCAGTACAGTTTTAAAAACAGGACATTACTGTACAGGGTGCTTCAAATGTTTTTTTTACACTTCTGAGAATTTGCAACAACAGCACAAGAAATGTGCCTCCGGGCTCTAGAGACCACCTGGAGAAGATTCCAGGCACGCGTTGACAATGATGGCGAACAAGTGGAGACTCTTTGAAAAGCTATTAGCATACATTTGTTAGCATGTTACAGTGTATTATCCGTTCCTTTTCCATTACAAAACGATAGTCCCATATAAGTGTTAAAACATTTTTAAGCACTCTATATAATAATAATAAAAAAAACATCGGACACAAATGTAGTTTATTCCACAAATGCTTTCTGCATGGCATCGTTGCATGAAGGTTATTTTAGAACAAGCAAGGCAAAATGCAACGCCTCTCACAGTACTAAAAATGTTTTCGATTGAGATAAAATAAAAGAGTTTTGGGAATATCAATAAGTTAAAAATCATCATTTGAGCTGGTCGGATTGCAAATTCAGTGTGTCCTTGAAATACCACGCCAATTCAGGTGTGGTGTGCCCTGGTATAGCCACACTCTTTTTAGTAGTTTTCCCATGAAGACCATAAAGGCCTCGTAGAGCAATCCCAACGTGATTGAACAATGCTGGTACAAATGGGGTGGAGGAGGGTGTACAACACACGTCAGCATTTTACTCGCCAAGTTCTGGCCCAACAAACAAGCTATCAGACATAATTGTGGGTCGCGAAAGCCTACGTGTTACGTTTGTAGCGTTGTTATTATTGCTTTTTAGATCATTGAACATATATAAAGCAACATTGAGGATCAAAAAGACACCGCTGAACCATCTCGAGTCATAACCCCATTCGGCAGCGCACAATCCAACGCTGCGGTAGTTATTGTAAAGCGCATTACTAAACTGGGACTGCATGGTGAACGATGTTGCTGTGCAGCGTGGAGACGCGGATAATAACTCAACCAACAACAATTTATGAGCTTTGGGGGGGGGGGTAATTTCAACAAAAATAATCCATATTTTTAAATCCTTTATATTAAGTTCACTTGCTTGCTTGCGCGCTTACGACCGTGCAAATCTTTCGGTCGTTTTTTAACCCACTTCCTGTGATCCAATCGAGCTGACATTTTGCACACAGACGCGTTGTGCGTGACAATTTATTTTCGTGAAAATTATTTTCCAAAAATTTACACTTTTTAGGAAAAAAAAAGTTATATTTAATTACCAATTGCTTAATGGTGGCAGGCAATCATCTGACCCATAGGTGGCAGCCATCTCAAGCCAGAGGACGAGAGGACTCTAGCCGCCCGTTTCAAAGACCAGTGTGGGCTGGGTTGTGACCCATTGAACACGCATATAAAGGATTTATAGTGAAAAACTTTGTTTTTACGGGTTAATTTTTTTGTTTCAATTTTAAGGGATACCCAGAGAAACGCCCCTTACACGTGAGACACGGCATCCAGCCACTGTATCTCAAGGTAACCCTTCAATACTGTGTCATCTGGACAACAATGCTCACGATGATCTCGGGTGCGATGATCATGGCTGCCCCTCCCTGTGTTCATTTGCATTCAGGAATCACCGAGACGTTGACGCAGTTGGCATCTGGGTGGGTGGCCGATCGCAATTACGTGCCCAAGATTCGCTACCTGACGGTCTACCTGCTGCTGTGTGGCATCACAACGCTGCTCTCCCCCTTAGCCACCACCTTCACGAGCCTGATGGCCTACGCCATCGTGTTTGCCATCTTCTGCGGGGGCTACATGGCCCTCCTCCTGCCTGTGCTGGTAACTGACGTCGTCGGCCTTGAGACTGAATCACCATGAGATGTGCCCCGATCACATTCAGATTTTAGAAACTAAGCAGGGTTGACCCTGGATAGGGCTTGGATGAGCGACCACCAGGCGCGCGCAGGGTTCTTGTTTTTTCTTCTTGGTTCTTTCGGTAAAGTCACGTAGAAGGGAAATAATAAGTCACGTAGAAGGGAAATAATAAAATAAAAAAAATAAAGCATAATAAAAAATATTATATTATATTATTATATTATTTTACTATGTTTTATTTTTATTATTTTATTATTTCCCTTCTACGTGACTTTACCGAAAGAACCAAGAAGATGAATCCCTGTAGTCACGAAAGCTTTAAATCGAAATTTAGGGTTCTTGTTGTTGGGCTGTTGGGGCTCTGTGGTGGGCAACAGAAGGGCAATGCAGCAATATACATTCTTGCGCTGCACTTCCATGCACCCACACCTATGCTCCCCAACTTCAGAAACCCGCGTTGACTAGTGTGGTGAAGTATGGTTAAATAACCCCTACGACCTGCATGGCATCGGGAGGCCCTCAACCAGCAGTGGTTTGACAAAGAGGCTAGAAATATACCAAGCTATATTATAGTTGTCATTAATTCAAGTTTTAAAATAGATCTTCCTCTGAATAAAATTCACGGTTGATATTTTTGATTAATCAGTCTGCATTTGTTAACAATAATTTTAGCAGTATTAGCAAGCTTCGTATCTTAAACCATTTTATGAGCAGGGGGGTAAGATATTGAATTCGATATTTTTTTACAGGTAAGACCCACCAAACTATACAGCTCTTTTTCAGAAGTGACATGTTTTCAACTAGTAAATTCGTTTTTTTTATTTCTGAGAAAACCAGTGCGACCGGGGAATACCCACGGTGGGTGTTCTATCCCGTGCAGAGGCATGAGTTGAAGTCCACATTTTCTGTACCACCTTCTCCTGGCGAGCCAGGGCATAGCAGCTCCTAGATGCCCACGGGAAGGGAGTTTCACAGACATTGCGTTGTCCACAAACCCTCGTCCCCAAAGCCGCCGCAAACTGACACTCGCCACCACTGCTATCGCGAATAAGGTGACGAAAAAAAATATTTTTTTTTACTTCGCAAAAATCTTGTGTTTCCAATTTTAGTGCGTTCAGTCAAGTCTGTCACTGCAGAGATCTCTTGCAGTGACAGCAGTTGCTGAGGTGTGCGTTCATGTCTTGACCCGTAAAGAAAGTATTTGAAAGTTCCATTCGGGCCTTGCTTCAACTTATGGC